TTTTGTATTTTTAGTAGAGACGGGGTTTCACCATGTTGACCAGGATGGTCTCGATCTCTTGACCTCGTGATCCACCCGCCTCGGCCTCCCAAAGTGCTGGGATTACAGGCTTGAGCCACCACGCCTGGCCCTAATTTTGTATTTTTAGTAGAGACGGGGTTTCTCCATGTTGGTCAGGCTGGTCTCAAACTCCTGACCTCAGGTGATCTGCCCGCCTCGGCCTCCAAAAGTGCTGGGATTACAGGTGTGACCCACCTCGCCTGGTCTTTTTTTTCTTTTTTTTTTTGAGATGGTATCTTGCTCTGTCGCCCAGGTTGGAGTGCAGTGTCGCAATCTTGGCTCACCACAACCTCTGCCTCCTAGGTTGAAGTGATTCTCCTGCCTCAGCCTCCCAAGTAGCTGGGACTACAGGCATGCTGCACCACTGTGCTGGCTAATTATTTTGTATTTTTAGTAGAGACAGAGTTTCACCCTGTTGGCCCGACTGGTCTCGAACTCTTGACCTCAAGCCATCCACCCACCTTGGCGTCCCAAAGTGCTGGGATTACAGGCATGAGCCACCGCGCCTGGCCCTCTGTTCTCTTTATTACAGCAGTAAGAGGCCTCACCTTCAAAGATGGTTCCCTTTGCCAACACCAGGAGTAGGCTCGAGCCCAGGTTGCTGGGAGGACATGGGAAGACTCCTGGGACTTCTTCAGCTGTTACTTCATTCCTAGGGAGAAAAAAACGAGGACAGAAGTGAGTGGAATCCCTCGAGACTGGAACCAGGAAGCTAAGTGTGTGGGACAGTGGAGGTTGGGGGCTGTGCTGCTGGAAACTGCAGGGCCCAATAGAAGTCCTGTCGTGAACAACTCTGCAAAAGCAACACTGAAGTTACTCCCTATCTTTCTCCTCTTTAGGAAGTAACCTCCTCCTCCCTCCACCTTTAAGAACCCCATCTACACAGACCGTCTCCTCCAGGAGACCCAGCAGTACTGCAGGAGGAAGGAACTCTTCACTTCTGGACCCATGGTACTTCAGCCTGGAACCACCATGAAGGCAGAAATGTTATCCAGTTACCCTGGAAGTAGGAAACCGAAAACCTGCGTAGCATTTATTGGAGCTAGACATGTAAACATCATTTAAAAGTTCTGGTTTTTGCTGGGCGTGGTGGCTCACATCTGTAATCCCAGCACTTTGGGAGGCTGAGGCGGGAGGATGGCTTGAAATCAGGAGTTGGAGACCAGCCTGGCCAACATGGTGAAACCCTGTCTCTACTAAAAATACAAAAATTAGCCAGGTGTGTTGGCACATGCCTGTAGTCCCAGCTACTCAGGAGGCTGAGGAAGAAGAATTGCTTGAACCCAGGAGGCGAAGGTTGCAGTGAGCTGAGATCGCGCCACTGTACTCTAGCCTGGGTGACAGAGCAAGACTCCGTCTCAGAAAAAAAAGTTCTGTTTTTTCGCTTTTATTAAAAAAAAAATCTGAAGCTCTACATCTTTGCCTGCCATCTATGGTTCCCCCTTCACACGAAACTCACACTCTTCAAACTGTTATCAAAACACCACAGGTTTGGTCTAGGTCCTGCTGCCCACCACACAGAAAGCCAATCACTGAGACAATTATTGCCAAGGAAGAAGGCTTTAATTGTGTGCTGCGGGCAAGTAGATGGGAGATCAGTCTCAAATCCATCTCCCTGATGGAGTAAAGTTAGGTGTTTATATAGTAGGGAAGAAATGTAACTGTGTGTGGGAAAATGAATGCAAGAGGTAGGGAAGCAAGTAGATGACTGAGGGGCCTTGAGTCTATTGTCTGGATGGGATGATCCGGTGGGTTTCAGTTCCTTGCTACTTTTTGAGAGGTCTGGGGGTCCTTTTCTGAGAGCAGAACTCAGAAAAAACAAATGTAGGCCAGGCGCGGTGGCTCAAGCCTGTAATCCCAGCACTTTGGGAGGCCGAGGCGGGTGGATCACAAGGTCAAGAGATCGAGACCATCCTGGTCAACATGGTGAAACCCCGTCTCTACTAAAAATACAAAAAATTAGCTGGGCATGGTGGTGTGTGCCTGTAATCCCAGCTACTCAGGAGGCTGAGGCAGGAGAATTGCCTGAACCCAGGAGACGGAGGTTGCGGTGAGCCGAGATCGCGCCATTGCACTCCAGCCTGGGTAACAAGAGCGAAACTCCGACTCAAAAAGAAACAAAAAAAAAAAACAAATGTAAGTTTCAAGTTTTAAGATTAGAAGGGTTGATTTCTATGTTTATCCAAAAAAGCTGTCTATGGGACTATTGGGTTGGTTTCAAAACTTCCCCAATATTGAGTCAGAATGCAGTCATTGCTAATGTTGAAATACAGACCTAATCTTCTGTTTCTGAAAAAAAGTATAGGTCAGGAGTTTGAGACCAGCCTGGCCAATATGGTGAAACCCCGTCTCCACTACAAATGCAATAATTAGCTGGGTGTGGTAATGCACACCTGTGAGCCCAGCTACTTAGGGGTCTGAGGCAGGAGAATTGCTTGAACCCAGGAGCGGTTGCAGTGAGCTGAGATCACACCACTACAGACCAATCTGGGTGACAGAGCCAGACTTCAGAAAAGAAACGAAGGAAGGAAAGAAGGAAGGAAGGAAGGAAAAAAAAATATGACAATAAAAGAGAGGCCAAGGGGCCATGTGCTTCAGGGAAGATGAGAAATGGCATAATTGTGTGTGTGTGTGTGTGTGTGTGTGTGTGTAAGTGTAAGTGTAATTGGAGAAATACTCTTACATATTTATTATTCAAACAAAGTGGATCTATGCTGAAAATTGGAACTCCAGGTGTCATTATTTCCACGCATAGTGACCAGGGGCTCATTACAGGATCAGACTCCTCAGTATGACTCTCAGCTCTACCGCCTGCAAGCTATGTGACCTCAGACAAGACTGTGACAATGTCCAGATGACTCTATAGTTTAAACTTCTCTGGACTGCTCACATATAGCCCAACTGCTATCTTAGCAACAAAATACCCTGCACACGTGGCTTTCATGGCTATGCTAAGGACAAAATGAAATCCCATACCCCAAGTTATTCCTTCTGGGATGAAAATGTGCCCAAAGTCAATACTTGCCCAAGCCAAAAGCCAAATCTGGCTCCCACAGGCAGGTTTTTGGCCCTGACTTTGGCAGGTGGTGCTGGCCCATGTAACCCACAAGGCCACAACAGGGGGAAGGCACTGGAGGCCAGGACTTCTGTGAGTGTCACAGGCTGACCTTGGGACGCTCATGGCCTGGGAGAGCTCAGCTAAGGTTAAGTGAAGACCATCAGGCCCTACCCAGATCAGAGTAACTCACTATTAGTTATGCAGCCACAGCCTTCAGCAGTAGGTGCCAGCAGGATTTTCAAAAATAGGACCAGGCAATCTGGGGACAAAGGTAACTCTCTACTGCAGGATGCTGAGGGAGGAGAAAAGGAAAAAATCAGTTGGGCAGACAGCTAAGGCTAGTCTTTGGTAAAATTCTTTTGAAAAATCAAAGCTGCAGGCACACATAGAGCAGCCTGGGGAAAAAAATCAAGCTTCAGTTGCACAGATAAGGGAGCTCGGCCCAGCACAGAGGTCTTTGTCTTTGTGTAATCAGCGGGCTCCTGGGAAAAAAGTTTCCTCCCTTTTTCAGGCATGTAAATGGTGTACTCTGTGGGAATTTGCACAGGGAGGGAGATGGGAGGACTTACCTAAAACATACTTGCAATTACAGAGACAAGAGAAGCTACATGTGCTTTCCTAAAAACATGCCCACAGCTGCACAGTTAAAGGGAGTTACACAGACAGAGGAAGTTACACAAACAGCTACAAAGATGAGGGAAGTTTCTTTCTTTTTTTTTTGGAGATGGAGTTTTGCTCCTGTTGCCCAGTCAAGTGATCTCCTGCCTCAGCCTCCCGAGTAGCTGGGACTACAAGTGCCCACTACCATGCCCAGCTAATTTTTGTATTTTTAGTAGAGACAGGGTTTCACCATGTTGGCCAGGCCGGGCCACCATGTCCAGCTGGGAAATTTCTTATAAAAGCTTTTGTATTCGGTTGGATGCAGTGGCTCACACCTATAATCCCAGCATGTTGGGAGGCCGAGGCAGGTGGATCACCTGAGGTCAGGAGTTCGAGAGCAGCCTGCTAAAACACACACACACAAAATTAGCCGGGCATGGCGGCAGGCACCTGTAATCTAAGCTACTCGGGAGGCTGAGGCAGGAGAATTGCTGGAACTTGGGAGGTAGA